ATGTATTTTAATCAATTTTACAATTGTGGCATATATTCTATCTAACAGTTTTTCAGACAGAAAAAGATAATTCATTTTATAATTAGTAATTATAATTCGCCATCAATTCGATGTTTGCTATTAACCATGAACATTAATGAATAGAAAAAAAATTGTTTGCATGGAGTCAAATTTAAGAAAAAAATTCCTCAGAAAATGAAGGTTTTGATTAATCATTTCAAAGTTATTATAAAAAATTTAATGCAAGGAAAGCTTCAGACCACATCACTAATGTAAAGAATAAATTGTTCAAATTCTTTGAAATAAAGAAATTTGTATCAGTTAATGAAAATAAAAATTTATAATGATAAATGTTTCTGTATCATGTCTACAAGTATTTTATTTTAAAAATCAGTCTGTGAGTATGGCTATTAAGGACAGACGAGACGTTCCTTAATAATAGATAAATTTTTCTAAGAGTTTGTCATTGAAGTATTGCTACTTAAACATGTTTACTCACAAAAAATGAGGTACCTTACCAGGCATTTCTGCAAGATACCAGGGGTAGTTTTTCTTATATAATCCTTTGGGGAAGAAAAATAATTTTCCAATTTCAAATGTTTAAGTGTTTGGATTTTTTAAAAACGTTTAGAAACTGGTTTAGAAATCAGAATGTTATTAAAATTTTAAATATTTTTCATACATTACGAAGATATACAAAACAGATTTTGAGTAACGTCTCGTCTGACCTTAATAAAGAAAAACAAACCATCTAACCTGAACATGTTTTAGACCCTTAAAGCTTAATGGCCCTGTGTGCCGCGAATGTGCAACCCTCCACCGGCAAGTGGTGGCGTCTCAATATGAGTGAAAAAAAAATCTCGAGAGGGGTGTTACACAATATACAAACAAAAAACCATAAATGCAATCTCTCAAAACTAGTATATTTTGAAATTTTAAGTGCAATAAAATAGTTTTTTGTAACATCCAATTTTATAAAATTGTTCCAAGCTCTCACCTGAATTAGACCAAAAATAGAAGCAAAGATAGGCAACTAACCACAGTTGGTGTATGCAGGTTGTGAATGATTTGGCGGGAATGTGGAAGTACAGGAAATATTTCTTTTTGTGTCGCGGAAAAACCCTTTCGCCCACAATTCCATTCATAATGAATTGTGGGGGTTCAGGTATTTTGTCATATACATTTCTTTATCATTCAAGAAGCTAAATTTCACATCACTGATACCAATTCTTCGGATTAAAAGTTTCTGGGGCATCGACTTATCTTTCTGCTGATAAGGAAAGTCGGTTTTAAAAAGTTTCATTCAATGTGTGTTCAAATGCAATCCTTAACTCTGAAAAAAATGCTTAGGCTATTTGATTATTCACACTCTTTAATAATAACGTCACACGAATGCCTCTTCGTATTCTATTAATAAAAATGTAAAAAAAAAAAAAAAAGAAACAAGAACTTATAAGCAGTCATGCCAAAGCATAGAGAAATTACCTTTACAAAAGTTAAAGCAATTATTTATTGATTATTGTTAAAAAAAACACATGATACTAGTATTTGCAAAAAATCGTAGCCGTATTTAGCCTTTGAATTTGAACAATGAAAATACTAAATAGCTTAAAATTCATTTATGAGGTGTTATTCTTAAATATTGTGGACTGATCCGAAAAAAAATAATGCTACATTATAATCCATATATATTTTACGATAAAACTTCATAGAAATTACAGAATAATGTAAAAATTAAAAATTTTAAGAAACGAGGATGTCCGACCAAGAGAGTGAATTAAGAGGATTTTTGGATGACAAATCTTCATATTTAAGAGTTTTTCTCAGTAACAATCAGGCAGGAAAAACCTCATCTTTGAGGTTGCGCCGCCTGAACACATAATTACTTTCAAATGCATGGACACTTTATAAAACAAATAAGATTATTATTTGTTGTTTATCATATAAGAGGGTTGATCATAAAGTTCGTCGACTTATTTCATATTATTTTTTATTTAACATCATATGTTATCAAAATTTGGTAGAGATATTTTAACAATACATTCAAATGCTTTGTATTAAAATTTTTAAAAATATCATGATTTATTTCAAACTTATCCAGAATTAAAATTTCAAAACTCGGATCGCGGAGAAGGTCAAACTTTAATATTTTTAAACAATACACTAAATAATGTCTGTAGTCGTATTCTCTACAAAATGGAACAAAAAAAAAATCCTAGATGTTTATATAAAGAAAATTGGTACATTGAATTATATTCCAAATTATGGATTTTATATTTTGCTGTGATGAAAAGACATCAATGTAAGAAGATAGGTAGTCCTCATTGAAAACACCAAAAATGACGACGTTGCAGAACGTCATGGGGCAGCAGATAACGATGCAATTCAGTGTAATACTCGGGAAAAATCCTAAATAATCTATAAATACGTTAAAGAAATCAAAAAAATATGTTAAAAGGCGAGTCATGCATGTATGTGCAAATTATACAGGTGGTATTTGAATGAGAGAGACTCTTAACATCTTTGAACAATCTTTGAAGATAAGATTTAGTTGTTAAAATCTGAACAAAAACTTATGAAGTTGGAACGTCATGGGAAGACATAGGCGCTTCAGAGTTGCTGATCTTGTGAAAGCACAGTTAAGCGGTAAAAGAAATTAAAACATTGACAAAGGAAATTATACAACGATATTGATTGTTAGACAATTGTATGTCAAGTGGTTTTTGATAAGTGAGTAATGGACTATACTGTGATGAAATATATAAGGATAATAAAAAAAGATTACGCTAAATTAAAAATTGGACAAATGCTGACTGAAGGTTGTCATACTAATTGTTAATCCATTATTTATACACCGAATTGACAACGGATTTTTTCCCGTTATTACCCGATCATGACAAGGAGCACATAGTTCACGACGGGTGTGACTGATCGGCAGGGGATGCTCACTCCTCCATGGCACCTGATCCCACCTCTAATTTTTTGGAGGTCCGTGTTTGCTCTGCTCCTACTTTGTATTGTTTAATTGACTTTTCATCTGAAATACTGTTCGTTATCTCCATATGTTTCACAAGACAGATGACGAAAACGTCATTTAATGCATATTTATATAATAGTTACTATATTTAGTAATATATATTTTGTTCATAATTTATTCTTTATTCTATATTCAACTGTCAATGAGCCAAGGTAGTAAATATCACCTGTGAAATTATTTTCAACTCATATAATCTCAAACACATGATATAAATAAATAAAATATACAAATTGTCATGTTTAATGTCGTTTATAAAAACTGCTTTCCGAGCAAACTGAGATTTTGGATAATTTATACATTAAGAAAGTGAATAATAAAACATTAAAATGTCTAAATTATGCCTATATAGTCGGTGTATCAATTCTTGTTGAGGAATCGCTAAAAAGTTTGAGGGTCAATATTAGTGAATTACCTCAAATTCTAATGCTCAAAGGGACGTTATTTCGAGTATTTATTCATATTTCAAAAAAGATGGATGGCTCTCAGAACCTAAATTATTAATTCGTAATGGATGTGAATTCTCGGATGCTGGATACCCAATTTTACACCACGAAATCTAATGATCCTACAGAATTTCACTAGAAAAGCCCTTTAAATATATCATTATAAGGTATTTGATGCGCATTTTCTTTATTAAAGATAAATCATATTATAAAAATGTTTGAAGTGCCCTCGCTTAATTAATCTAAAAACATTTCTATCTTTATACGATGAGCTTATATCATGCAAATATATTCTTACAAACAAAGATACATAGAGGGTTCCAGCAAATGTTCTACCAAGTCTTTTTCTTTAATCCTTACTAAGATATTAACAGTAGTGAAGGAGAAACGTCAAGACTACTGTTCAACAATATATTCAAACAATCTATTGGAATTCCCATGGGTACCAATTGCGCCCCGTTATAAGCAGACCTATTTTTGTATTCATATGAAACATATTGAGTAAAATCTTATGCATGATAAGAAGAAAACAGTTGTTGTGGCCTTCAACTCGACATTTAGATATATTGCTGATGTATTGTCAATTAACAATAGTTATATTCATTCTTATGTCAATACATTATATCCTCGTGAGCTTGAGATAAAAGATATTAAAGAGTCTGATACATCTGTTTCATATTTAGAGATTTTACTTGAAAAAGACTTGATGGTAATTTAACAACCAAGCTCTATGATAAACGTGATGAATTTAACTTTATATCGTCAACTTCCCCTACTTATGCAGCAATATACATTCATCACCTGCACCTGGGTTTATATATCTCAGTTGATTCGATACACAAGAGCATGTTCTATATATGAACAATTTCTAAAATGATGCCAATTATTGACAAACAAGTTGATGAAACAAGAATATCAGCAGTCTCGTTTAAAGTAATAATTTCGTAGGGTCTATGGTCGATACTATGATCTTGTCAACAAATACAATTGATCATTAAGTCAAAACTTTTTTCACACTAAAGTTTAGTCCATTATTTACAAACTGAGTTGTCCATGAATTTTTCCCCTTTACCCCCGATTATGACAAGTAGCACACGGCGGGTGTGACTGGTCGGCATGGGATGCTCACTATTCCATGATCACACCTCTGTTATGGAGTTCTGTGTTTGCTCCGCCCCTTTTTGTAATTTTAAATGAATTTTTGAGCTCGAATAATGTTCGTTATCGATCTCCACACATTTCATCAAAAATGAAATGTGAAATTGAAATGTTGATTTATCATAATAAAAAAATACTCTAATTTTCAATAATTTTGAATGATTAAGGAAAACCATATTGAATTTGGATTGAAATTAATACCACGCTATGTTTTTATAAATATTGTTTTTAAAAAATGAAAGCTACAAGTAAAAAAAAATGATAATTCACTCAAGCTTAGTTTTTTTTATTTTGATTGTGTTAATTCAAGTGTGTGTCACTATCTAATTATGATGTGTAACCTTTGTTTCTTTTATAGCTAGTAGAGACCTGATATTTGGACAAGACGTCTTCGATTCTTATAAAACAGCGTAAAAGTAGAGGTCATATCTTTACGGTAAAGGTTACATATGATGTCGCCATTTAAACTGAGTTTCCTACATCGACCTTTTGCCTCTATTTTCATTATGCTATGTGTAATACAATTTTAAAGCCACCATGTATACATACTCATATATCAATTACAATATATTAATCTGCGTTAAATAATGAATAGGCCACCTTTATAAAAAGTACCTCAAAAACTGGAAGATTTTAATTAAAAGTTAAGGAACAATTTAAGGATAGAAATCTGATTTTTCACTTTTTTTTTTATTGTGGACCAAAAGGCTGTATATTTGAAATTATAAAAAGTTCCTCAAAAACTGTAAGATTTTAAGGTAAAGTTAAGAAATATTGTAAGTTCGCAAATTTGATTCCTCACTTTTTTTTTATTATAATCCGAAGGGCTGTATATTTGAAAGTACAGTATACATGTACAAAAATTAAAATTATTGTACAATTTGTGCTGTTGCTTTTTTCTCTAGCTAGCAAGAAAAAGAATACACTATATTTGTAGTTTACATAGTTAAAAAAAACAAAAAAAAAACGTCCTTTCATTTGTTAAATAGATTCAACACAGACAAATTAGAATGAGATTTTTTCGGGGGTGCGGACTGGGATTGGCTATAAATATATATTTTTAGCATTACAAATAAGTTTTTGAATGAGTGATTTAAGTGATGAAAACATTTTTTTTAAAAAAAAGTAATTAATAAATAATGAGAAAAATATCTCACTTGTATCAGGAGTTTTCTTGTTTTTTTTTACATTAGAAATAGTGAGATATTACTTTGAAATTATTAACAATCATAAAATGGTAATCATTAAAACGATTTTAGATATGAACTATAATTATACTTGTATAAGTGAATATAGCTTATATGGTATAATTTTCAGTAATAGTTGTAACGTCACAATTTGTTTTTGCATAAAATGAATGACGTCAAATGAAGTGTATTTTAGGAATAACTTTAATATCTATTAAACTCTTTCTTTTTTTTGTTTAGTTCTTTATCATTAAGTGTAGAAAAAAAAGACAATTTTTGAAATGTCTAATTTGAAAAGTAACGTCAAATGTTATTTCAGAAAATTAGGTAATAAATCTCTTACGCTGTAGCTGGCATAGATTTATTTTTCATTCTTTTGTCTTTAAGAAAAATCTTGAAATTATTCACATACAATTAATTGAAAGTTATATTTTCAATGTAATATTTTCTTTTTCTTTTTTAGGTTTGATGATTTGAAAAGCAAGTGTTTCATGCAACTGAAATAGGTATATTAAAATCAATACACAGGATAAAAATAACTTTAAAAAGTGTATTTATTAACTTATTCTAATGAACAATTCATAGAACACTATTTCATGCATGTCTGACTAACAAATGTTGTATTTATTAGAACTTTATTTAATTTGATTTTAACTTTCAAATAGAAGCTGTTCGTCTATTAGATATATAAATCATCTATAGATTTTATTTTGATTTTGAATTTTAATTTTTGAAACATAAAATGCGTGTGTGCTTGTTGCAAAAAATATCCAATATCCATTTCCCCTTAATCTTACTTATATATTTTCGTACACGTCAAAAGTTAGTAGAATAAGGAAACGAGGTAAGCTTTCATAATTTATGATTTATACTAAAAAACTTTTAGGCTATTTCGAGGCTATTACAATGGAGATCATGTGGTCTCTCAACTCTCTGACAAAATTTAAGTCTTTTGATTCTAACGCATGCTCAAAAATTCTTTTATAGATTATTTATGTTTGTTTGTTTGTCGGTTTTTCGCATTTGCAATCACTTATATAGGGAATAAATCCTTAGAATAGCGTTTATCTTCTTTGAAAACAGATATGAAATGTAGAAAATAACTGAAGCATATTTTGGAAGTTCATTCAATGAAAGAAGGTATTGGATATAAATAACCATTGATAAATGTGAGGTTTTGAATGACATATTTATGATAAATGTATGTTTCAAAAAGTTTTAGAAAAGAAAATATTATCATAAGAACATTTCCAAAAAAAAAAAAAAAGATCACTCAAGTTTTATTTAAAAGGTAACTTTTTGATTTTAGAATAATAAACAGTGATTGACCTAAAAAATAAAATTAAAAAGAGCCAATGATTTTCCTTTTTTTTTGCATTTAAGAACCCTATCTACACTGCACACTTAAGAGCTCTGATTCTATGGTATTTTTCTGCAGTTAGAGTGATCTGCCCTTAGATCTTAATTCCAAGAAATAGAAATTTACATTATATTACTAAATTTAAAATTAATTAAAGTATTGTTAATATTTTAGAAGGCCTAGATAAATAAATTGAGCACATTAATTACATGTATTTTCTCACCGGAATTAAAAAAAAAAAACCACAGTGATTCCTGGCCTCTGATACTGTGTTGTGAATGAAGAATTTTCCTTGGGGGGTAAATGGCACGTACCAGAGATTTGAAATTAATGAGATAAGCTCAATATTTGAACCTTTATTCAATTTAATTTTTTCATTGTGCCCCAAACATTTTGCACTGGTGTAGAGAGGGTCTTTAAGAAGAAAATTGTCATCAGATTTAGAAAGTTCTTTATCACAAGTTTAAATGGTTTTTACAGATATTAAATGAAGTAAATTTTGATCATTTTTTAAAATGACCTAAATATGTTTTAGAAATTGCAAATTCATTTTGATTTACCTCATCAAATTTCTTTATATAGAAGTCAATAAATTCATAATCTCAAGACAATCTGTTAATGATACATATTTTCTTACAGTTGATGAACATTCTGGTACTAGTATTTTAAAAAAATTACTAGAGGAAAAAATCCACTGAAACTGAAATATGAAGCATATGGAGATAACGAACAGTTTTCAAGATCAAAAGTCCATAAAACGATACAAAATAGGAGCAGAGCAAACACGGACCTCCAAAACATCAGAGGTTGGATCATTATAAAACATATTCCACAAATTCAACTTTAATCTTTGAATCTTTGTTGTGTAGCTGCACAATACAGACACGTGCGTATTTTTCATTTTCAAAAGAATAAAAACATTATTTTTTTTTTTTAAAATGTCTCTAGTAGTTCCTTGAATATATTCTAAGAATAGGCTTACCTCAATTGAGCCTTTCCTGACCAAAGTTTGGCATGAAAGTGTATTCTTTTTTGCAGATATAAAATATAAGTAAGGCAGATGCTCAAAAATGAGACAGCAACTTGTTTACTTGCCTTAAAAGTATTCAAATATGTTTTTTTCGAAAGTCTCTTAGAAATTCTTCGACTGCTTGCGGTGTTCCAGACTTTGCATATAAACGAGGACACTGAACGTATGATATCATCTTTGAACTTCTGAGACAATAAACATCCAAGAAGATTTTCGGAAAATGGAAAAAAAATATCAAAGTCTGTTTTGACATATTAAATGTGTAAAAATAATGACTATATAAATATCCAATGACTTCCGCTCACCTCTGGAAATATGTGTTCTTGCTGAAATGATATACTTTAGATTATTAATTTAAGGTGATCTCATTGAAATAGTTATTAAATTACTTATTTTTTTCGATTAAAATTGTCCATCAAGTTTTATGAAATCAATTGTTTCCAACATTTATAAAACAGGAAGAAAAAATGGTGGATAATTTTCGATCAAATCAACAAAATAACATGCATAGAGCTTTCATATGATACTGTAAACCATTCAAGAAAATCAACCAAAAAAAAAAAAAAACAACAACAAAAAACCTAATTAAAAAAAATAGTGTAGTTTCTCTACAGTATCTTCTAAAAGGCAAACTTAAGTAAGATTTAAGAAATTGCAGTAAGAACAGATGATAGTTCCACAAATATAAGATTTTCTTAAAAAATATTTTTGAAATGTGTGAAAAATATTCAAAATTTTGATTACATTCTGATTTCTAAACCAGTTTCTAATCTTCTTTAAGAAATTGAAACATTTAAAGATTTAATTTTGGGAAATGCAGTCTTTCTCCACAAGGATTATATAAAATACACTACCCTTTGCGGGTTGACGGAAGATGCTTACTATTAGGCATCCATTTCGTTTTTTTTCTATTAAAAAAAAATTGAAAAAATGGGGAAAAAAATTATGTGTAGTTGTTCATCTTTTTGCGTATTAAAGAATTTTAAGCAATAATTATTCAATTGGGCAATATATATTATTTATATTTTCTTATTAGCTAGGATATCATGAAAAAAAAAAATATTTGCAAACAAGAAATGAAAATAATAATAAATTGTTACTAGTTTAAAAAAAATAAAAAGGAATGTCTTGCTAACTTTGACTTTTGCTCATATTCTAGTATCATTGCAATAATATTTAAAATTTGACCCCTCTTCCAGAGAGAAAAAAATAAAAAAAAAATTAGAATTTTATTGAAATAAAAAGCAAATAAAAACACTTTATTTTGTAATGATTTCATTCAACTTACATTTATGTGTAACTGGAATAGTGAATAGACATAAAATAGGTCCTTGTAGTTCTTGTTATCAAGATCACTTTTCTGAAAATATAATACCTAAAATCTAATATTTTATATAATGTAATATCTAAAATCAAATATTTAAGTTTAGTCCAGTTTTTGCTATGTCATATATGTTTTTTACGATTATTTTGGCACATGTCTTGTGTGTAAATAAAATATAATTTATAAACCTACCATTCCTAATGTACTCTACAGAATAGATTGTTCGAAGGGTCGTTTTCTCCCCGATTCCATTGATAGGAGACGATTTTATCTGCATAGTGTTGTTTTAGTAAAGTCCTACTCGTTACTTGTAGAAACTCGTCAAAGTCAACTTTAATTAACAATGTAAAACCCTTATTAACAGAATCTGTTCGAATCCCACTGTGAGACATGGAGACCATCCTTCGGATGAAACCGAAGATCCCATGTCGCATTAGGTGCTGGCATGAAAAAAAAATCCTTCATTGCTCAATGGCTCTAAGTGCAGAGTATAGGACAAAATTATCAGCTCTCTGCCGACAAATGATGGTGTCTCTACATGGGTGAAATATTCTCGAGAGGGACGTTAAACAATATACAAACAAACGAACAAACAAACACGAACAGATCAACTAATAATATACGAGCACAATTTTTGTTTACGGCGAATTCAACTGTTGATCGAAGATGTGAAATAGAAATTGTCAATAAAGAGTTTCTGCTGTTTTAAACTTTGTTTTCAGAACTTTGGATTATTTTTGCTTTTAGCGAGGAAAATAAGTCTAAAGTAATGAAAAGTCATAAGTTTTGACTTTGTTAAAAATGAAAATGTTTGAGTTCATCTTTTGTGTTTTGAGAATCCCCATTGATATATACTCTGAAGATTCCCTATCGCAACATCAAATGTTATTGTGAGGAGATATTTTTGGGTTTGATTATTCATGGAATGTATCTTTGATTTTATAACATGCTTAAGACCGTTGTTTTCATACCAATTTGACTAAATTAAATAAAAACATCCGAGTTCTTTTTTTAAAATGATGTTCCAATGCATTGGAAATTTTTGCAAAAAGCTTATAAAACAGATTTCAAAAATAAGCATAAGAATAATAATTCGAGAAATTAATTCCATTCGCTGGATTTGAATATTTTAAACTACATGTATATCCTGTCCAGCTTGAATGTTTTTACCTCATTTTCAACGTTTGCAAATAAATCTTTCTTTTTCACGTGTCTTGAGAAATGTCATTAACCAGTGAATTTTAATTATCTTCAAAGCAGTTTTTTTCAGTTTAGATACATCAAATTTAAACACAATGCAGATGGCAATTTTTTCTACTTCAGATTTTGTATTTTTATGCTCTTAAATGAACGAAAGTGTGATCATTTTTCCAGCGATGAAATCAAGTGTAACCTCCACATCAACTCAAATATTTTCCTACGCCATTAGATTACTTGAATAGCCAGTAAGAACCGGAAATAACAAAATAATGATATACTCTTTCCAGAAGAAATCGCCAATTTGAGGAGGATGGTTGGGATAAAAATCAAATCTTCCTCGATCGAGGCTTTTTCAAATTAGAGGGTATTCCTTATTGTTGAGAAATATTGAAAAATATTATGACAATTAGATCGTTAGGCAGATTAAAGAAAATCTTTTAAATTCTTATCTTGGCATCATTCCTTGAAGAAGTAAATGATAATCCACCCCTCTTCCCGAAAACATTGAAAAATGATTTATAATATATAATGATAAAAGCATGCTAGAACAATTTATTTTTTCCCCTAAATGCTTGAGAGATAATATTTTGACTAGAGGTCAT